AAGTTTAGAATCACTTGCACAAATAACATATTTCAGGATAAAAAAAAAATACCAAGTCTTCATCTTTCACAAAAGAGAATATTTTTTTGCACATATTTGTAATAATTAGTTTTAAATTCTAAAATAAAGTGGATCAGAAGCTGCCAGTCTGTTTTCATTAAAATGTTTAATTTCTCTGCACTAAGGCCCAAATCCCAAGCCCACCGAAATGAATAACAGAACTTCCAATTGCTTCCAGTAGACTAAGCTTCAATCCTAAATCAATCTTGCAAAGCTCTGGTGCATTAAATGAGATTGCCTTTTCATACCCATACAGACATATCTAGGAATAAGAACTCCTCGGCAGGAATCATTTACACATATGCAGTGTAGATGCATCCTGCACACAGGAGAGCACAAAGAAGGCACGTACATATTTGCAGGGATCTATTCATATTATAATGGTGCAGGTACAGCTACACGGGTAATTTAAGTGTGTCTGCCTTGGCATACCCGTACATATGGACATATGTGCACTTACACACACATGCAGGCAAAAGCATATTCAGATATTCCCGACTGCTTTTGCATACAAAACTGTGTGCACGGCTACACGCAGAGATGGACACATGCAGTACTTTGTCTCAGGTATCTTTTTCTAAACTGTTTCCCACCTTCTCAGATTCGTCTGTGCTTTCTCAAACCCACCAACCCCCCTGAATTCTCACATTTTGTTACAATGAAACAGATTAATACAGAATGGCTTTCTTCTTCTGGAAGTAACTTGCTTTCATTTGCTAAACTTGTAATCTTTGATAGAGTATGCCAAAGGAAAAAAAAAAAAAAAAGAAAAAGAAAAAAAGAAAAAAAAATTCAAGGGGAAATAGGCTTCTTTTCTAAAAGCCAAGGAGACTGCATTAAAAAAAGATGTGAGAAAATCAGCTCAGATGATGATTCACAGTCACATTTCTCAGTATCTTGTAAAAAATAATAATAATAATTTCTGATCTCTCTAGATTTCCAGAACTTCTAGTATCCATTAATTTATCTTTTTCCCCTTTGCCTTTGCCTGCTTCCTTCCTGCATTATTTTACTTTCAGTCTTCCACTCCAGTGCCTTTTAAATAAACTAGAAGAGAGAAACAAGAGCTCCACTCAGAGAAGCTACAGATAAGCATAAAGATCTCTGGGTTTCAGGATCCAATTAGGTAAAATAGGAGTTTGCAGGAAGATTGCCTTGTGTGCAGCAAAAAGCCTTTGGAGTGTGCCCTCTCGTGGCCATTCTTTATTCCGCACGGATACCTGTACCATTAAATATATTTGCTTTCAAAAGGAAATTGATGAAATGATTTAAAGGGGCATGAGCGACCCATCCTTTTTTTCCTCCTGAGCTGCCAGACTGGCTGTATACGAGTAGGCATCCTCCTAGGAAAAGGCGTCTGTACACACCCGTATCTGCACATGACAGTAGGCATCACATGATCAAGTCAGCTCACCTTGAATTCAGGATGAAGTGATACAAAAAGGTAGAAGCAGTCTAAATAACTGTCAGGCTTCTCTTTTTTTTTTTTTTTTCCTGACAGTTCTCCTAACTATAAGCCTTTGGATTTCAGTATTTCCATCCAGTAATTCCTATCACCTCCTTGGGGGCTGATGTTAACAACCCATTTCATTGGTAGTTTAGTTGCCAGGATCAAATTCACTTGGCAAAATCCCAGGTCTGCCTAACAAGCTATCTACTTAAAATAATGAAAGAGTTAGGAGCCAACCATATTTTATGAGCATTGGGTATCTCAGTTATAGAACCTGTTGGATTTGCTTGTCACAAAACTCTCTCCTCAAAAGTCTATTTTTAAGACCTTGAAGTAATCCACAGAGCTCTGGCACAGCTACCCTCATAGCAGAATTAATCAAGGTTAGTAATCCTAGTTTGATATGCAAGTAGAAAATAATTTTCATGTTTTACTTGTAAGAGTGCCAAAGGACAGTAGGGTGCATTCGTAAACTTTTGCCCAATACTCACGGTCATTAGTTTTGCAAAGATCTGCCTGGATTTGTTAGCTGTGAAAACTACCTGCCAACTATTTCGCTGATTTCCTGGACATAACTACACCTGTGCTTCAGACAAATTCCCTGCATTTAGCTTCCCCTGTAATTGTCTGAAGCCTGTGCTCGTTTGAATTTTGGTCTATTTTAGAAAATAGCAGTCTCAAGCCAGAGCCACGTGCACAGGGCACTGTTTGTTCATTCACTCCATTGCATTGTATGTCTGAGGATACAGCTGATGAAAGATGGAAATACTACTTTTTTATGAAGGCAAGTAGTAAATGTGGCTTCTGAGAGGTAGGGGGAATGGCTGGTTTATGTCAAGTCATACCCAAAGGAACAAAAACCTAAAGTCTTATTTCTCTTTCCATAGACCTTTATTTGATACAATGTGAGATGTTTCCATTCATTTTCATTGATTTCCTATTGCCCTCTTTCAAGACAGAGTGAGTTTCACATTAAAAGCAGGAAGAACATTAACCTGACTGTGAGAGAAACACGTTTACTCTCCTGCTTGGTGTTTTAAACTTATCCATACTCTTCCCAGTTCCCACTGAGTGAAAAGTGGGCACTGTCCAGGTGGCTATATTCTATTTCTTCTTTTTTAACTCATACTTCCTCTATGACATGTCACTTGCCTTCTTTTTGCCTCGCTTCCCTCAATGGGAGATATAACACTGCTTTAATATTTGACATACAATACGGCTGATATATGAGAGGAAGAGATCCCAGAAAGAGTTTACTTAAGTTGTTGCAGCACTGGCACCTGTAAAGTGTAGTAGATCCTCTGTTGCTAGTGAGACAACAAATATGAATGACTATCGTTTTAGCAGTCTGAAGTTGCTCCACAGAGTGGAGTTATCAATTCTGTTATAAGCCCAAACACTAGAGCTCGGTTTCTAGGTTGCTAATTGCACCTCCCTCCTTCCAAATCAAAGCCTAGCAGGTATGGGAAGAAGGGCCAGAGCAGTCGTCCTGCCTTGGCTTCCAGGATGGGCTCAGCATGAAGGTGGAGAACAGCAGCAGAGAAGAAAAGGCATGGGAACACAACGGATGCCCCCGTCCTTCAGCTGTGCAACTCCATAGCATAAGTCTTCTTAAATTAATTTGGCTAGCAGCAGTAGGACACTGCTATGTAAATCAAAGTGACGTGTTAGTGTTGGGTAGTTTGTGGCGGGGGGGATTGGTGGCTGGACTATTGGCCAGTGTGTGGGCAATGGCACAATTTTCACTGCTCACGTGACCCAGAAAGCCAATGGCTTCAGGAGCCGCCGTTGGAGGGTGTCGTACTGAGTAGGCATATATCAAATTCCAAATTCCTTTGTGTCAGAGCTCAGGAGAGACAATAATGTGTTTACAAATGATTGGGACTCACACAGTGAAGAGACACCACTGCTCATGCCATATGTGTTTCACTGTGCTCAGAGCAAGCTGCTGAAAACCAGGTGGGGAATCCAACTCATAGATAGTCTAGAGATTTCCTTGCTTTTAAAAACTCATTTCTAAACTAACATTGAGCTTCCCCTGCTTTTAATGACCACTGGCATTGACACCTTCTGCCTGCTTTCTGAAGTGGAGGGGATGGAGAAACTGAAAAGCCTGACGTTTCGTACCGAAAGAACTGATAATGTGTATATTGACAAGGGCTCCAAAGGCAAGGGCTCCTTGTACAGCTGGAAATCGGACAGCCAGCAGGAACGTCTGCTCTTAAAAGCATGCACACTTCTAGTGCATGGCTTCCCTGCAAACAGAACATCTGAGTCAACAGGTTTTCAGGACTGGAAACTCTGAGTGTTGTCTTAATTGTTTATACTGCTGCAGCAAACTTTTAAACAAAAATGCTTGGAGTTCCTTTGCATACTTTGCCTACCATATGCTGTACCAAACAAAACAATGACATTCTTTTAAAACCGTCTTGGCAACAGAAAAAATGCTTTGGCTAGACAGCATCATAAAAAGTTGCTGTTAGTTAGATGATAGAGTTATTGCAAGATACTGCTATTGATGCGTGTATAAACATACTCACATATACTAACAGATATACATGTACTACATATACATTGAATTAAAATGGGTTCTGGACCTATTCATGTAGGAACAAGACAGAAAGTACAACTTTAGAACTGTTTCCTATAGGCAGTGGATGTGAGTCTTAAGCCATTACTTAGTAATATCTACAGTCTGAGCTCTTACTGTATAAGAGTTAGGGAAAACAGAACTGAGAAAGAGTTCAAAATATACCCTACCAAGGTTGGTTTTTGGTTTTTTTGTTGTTTGTTGTTTTGGGTTTTTTTCAGGAGAGTTTTAGGAAAAGAATCTTTTTTTCCAGTATGCAGAAGTCTGCATTACAAATTGGATCAGCTACAGCAACTTGTCCGGTTCTATTGAAGTCATCTGACAGTCCCTGCAACTCTTTATTGCCAAAGATGCTGTGTTAAATTTAAAAAAAAAAACAAAATGACAAAAAACAAACCAACCCACAAAAAAAACCTCTCACTTCCAAAAATCAAAGCTGCTTCATCTCATTTTATAACTTCCACTATAATTTTTGCATGAAAGGGTTGTTTCTCAAGCACTTTGTAGATCACTTTCTGTCCCGATAAACTCCCTAAAAGGCTTCAACCCCTTTTCTTTCACCATCAGCTCTGCAATCCAGTACTTTACTGCAAGTACCCTGGCTTCACAGGCACAGTTTGGAGGTCCCCGCTGCAGCCTGACTTTCTGCTCAAGATTGGTTAGAGAGCTTCCTCCCTGTGTGGCTGTCTGTGCTTAGCAAGTGTAATCTGTAGCCAAGTCTAAGTCAGAAAAATCCAATTCCTTCAGAGTCCTGTCCCCCCCATCCCATTCCTCCTTCTCCCTTCCCCCAGGTCTCATCCTACAACCTTGCAGAAAACATTATTGCTGAGGAGAAGAAAAGAAGTTAATTGCAGTTCTGTCAGAACGAATATTTTACAGATTTGGTTTTCAAGCACTCACCTGATTCTGCGAAAGTGATGATTTCTGAGGTTTGCTCCACAACTTCATTCATTTCGGCTCTTCTTCCAACATCATCCTCTATTTCCACATAACCATCCTCTCCCACCTTTCCCACATGGAGTTTTTTGATGGCATTTAAAAGTGCTGCCTTGGGCACCGGCTGGGTGATATTAGGTCTGTCCCTCAAGTGCAACATGTTCAGTATGTGCTTCTTTACTGCTTCCACCATCTCAGGCTGTGAGCTGGGCACATCCTTTGAGAGCGTGGCAAGGGCACATGATGGACAGTCAGTGACTGAACTGTGCCCCTCGGATCCTGGGGTTGGGGAACTCCTCACTATAATCCAGCAAAGCACCAACAAAAATCCTCTCTTCCAAAGCAAAGGCATCCTGGCAGCAAAAGTTGTTGTGATTCCCTTTTTAAAAGGCCCTGCTTTTCCTCCCCCTTCACGCACAGTTTTTTTGGGGCTGGTTTGGTTTGTTTGTTTGTTTGTTTGTTTTTCCTTCTCTTCAGCAAATTCTCTGGAACAAGAACCAAAAGTTTTCTGTGAAGTTTTGTTTGCAGGTTCCCCCTCTGAATGCAATAAGTGCTGTAGATGTTTGTGGCTGTCAGGGAGAAGAGTTCTGACTCTGTCTCAGAGTAGGAGAGAGACACAGAGAGAGGGGGAGAGAGAGAGAGGACGGATTGGCCTAAAGTGAGTGAGTGAATGAGAGAGGGAGGGAGTTTTGTCTGTGAGTAAAGGCTATGATTAGGAAGGGGTTTTGTTTGTTTTATTCTTTCAACAGTATCACTGGCTTAACTAAACAGAGGAAACATGAATGAATGAAAAGAGTGAAGCCTTTTATTAACGAGCACCTTGCTCTTGGTCCTGCCTGGTATTGTCAGGGATAGCAGGAGATGTTAAATGGCTTGTGAATGAGATGGAGATGAGGGCAGGGTCCCTGAATATTTTGGGCAGGACATTATTCTGCCTTGAGTAGAAGAGAAAAGATCTTTTCTGCTCACTTCTAAATGCTGGAGGTTATCAACACTGGCAAGAGATCTGACAGGAGCAAAATAACACTGTTGTTTGGAGGGCTATATAATACATGATACGCTCTCCAGCTGCAATATGGGGTCAAGCACTGAAAACCTAAGCAGGAGTTGGTACAGCACATATCTGTGACCTACTAAGGTAGTGCCCTCATACAAGAAATATCCCTACTTCTATGCTATTCTGTGCCTAGAAGTTCTCAGGCAGATATATTTAGGCTTGGGGTTAATCAAGTAATGTCTGAATAATGCTTTGAAGGTGAAAAGTGTTACATGTCATCTGGCCAAATCATACTCACTCCTGACTCAGGCAAATCCCTCAACGATGCCAATAATAATCCTGTCTGAGTGAAAGCTGAGTAAGATCTACATTTGGCCCATTGTTATTAGAAGGCTCTTTTTGTTTCATTCATTTACACCATGCAGAGCAATCATAATATTAGAATAAAACATCAGGAATGCAAAGCAATCAAAAATACTGCTAGGAGCCAGAGTCTCAACCGGTGTTGGTAGACCCTCGCTAGTTTATGCCCGTGAGGGTTTTGCACTGCAGTGAAGAGGCATTCCCTGTGTCACTGCCATGGCTTCATGTTGCCTTTACATTCTATAGCCTCTCTGTTCTGTTCCTTACCTAGCGAGGGTGAAGTTAGCAAACTCCCTCACATTTGAACTTGATAATGGAAAATTAGAAAACTACGGCTGATAGACTCTAACTTTGGAGGTTCTTTCCCTCCAGTCTTTAACTTGTACAGATTTTCTAAGAACAGCTTCTGCTTCTTTAGTATTTACCGTCTTTCTTCTCCTTCCCTTCATTCTTTCTCTCACACACCCCTGTCTTCTTAGGTGTGCTTCCCTCCTACCCAGCAAATATTCCACTTTCACTACATTAGCATCAACCATTGTATTTTAGTGGAAAGCAGTAATTTATAAATATAAGCATTGTAAGGTCTCTAATTTCCATGAGATGACTACAGGCACATGGTCTGAGAGACAGGCAAGGAATTATAGTTAGAGTAAATGAAACATACAGAAGTAATTGAACAATCAACCAAAGTTTTACAAATGTTATATATTGCAAGTCCTTTTCAATTAAGCTTTTTTATAAGTCTTTCACTGTTATAAGGCATCCACAGTACACCCTCATCTGTGTTTTACTGACCTCAGTTGCTATACTGTTATATACTGTTACACTTATGGGTCTGTCAGCATTATAAACCCTGCAGCCATTCTTATAAACACATCTTTGTAACACAAACCTCGCTATAATACATCTAAATTTCTTGGATCTTGTGAACAGCCCAAAGTCTGTTGTAATTATATGAAGTCTGAAAGTCAGCTTGAAATAGAACTAAAAGTTTAATTGGATGAAAAAATAATTTCAGATGAAAATATGCATTCATGATTAGATGTACTAACAGATGACATAATTAAAGGGGTTATTTATAGTTCTAATATAGCACCTATCCCAACAGTGTCTAATGAAAAGTAAGGGATAGGCAAAAATCAATATAAAATACAGATAAGTATATTTGGGTTCTTGCTGTGGGGTATACGTCGCTTGCCACATATAACAGGTACACTTATCACAGACAATCTCTATTACATATAGGTATGGCATATTTTACTTGCATACCATGATGATGACAGATTTAACATTAAAGCATAACTTTCTAAAAACCACTGTTTTCTAAAAGCGAGTCTGCTGATACTGCTGATACATAGTTCATTTGTACTTACATACTTACATATATATATATGTACAAAAATACATGATGTTTGAATAAATATAGAAATGGTGGTTCAGACCCTTGCTATAAAATTACCTGAGCTGCAGAGCTCTGTATATGCATTCATTCAATACAGCCCTAACAGTATGCAACAGCATGCACAGGAATTAAAAGTTTCAATTTTAAAAGAAAAAAGCTGATGTAAAGTTTTACCTCTCTAGTCCTGACTCTCAGGAGGAGACTGCTGTATTGTGCATTAAGAACTGCTGAAGTTCCTCTTTGTGGTATTTATAATGCGAAGCTTTATACTGTATTTCTCATGTGTACACTCACATATAATGTCTGTCAAAAGTAAGTGGGCCGGATCACTATGCGGGATTGGTTAATCCTGTTACATCAGCAATTGACTGTTTTTCCTGTATGAGACATACTTCTGGTAATTATCTAATGGAAACTCCTAATTGTCTAGCATGACAAAATATCGTGGATTCAACTTGTAGTGGTGATCTCTGTATCCTTTTAAAGACTAGAACTTAAAATCAGACTGAAAGCAAACATTATGAGTCAGGAAGACACACTCCAACTTGTTTTATTGCATAGCTAGATATAGATATTATTAGATGTAGATATCACCGATTTAGTTCAAATACAGTATTTGCCAGATACTTAATTACTAGTTTGCAAATTGTTTTCTTCTTCTTTCATACTTAAGGATATACCAGATAATCTATTTGCAAATTTGGATTCCTTTCAAGTTCAGGAAAATGCATTTGATTAAGAATCCTTTTGCTGTGGATTAATTTTTTTTAATTCAGTCTTTGGATAAATATGTCCTTCTGTTAACTTAGGGATCCCTTTAAAGCTCTTAAAAAATGATTCATATTGTTCTTGTCCAAGTCTCCTGGCTTCTTGACGTGCAGATTGCATCACACTATTAAAAAATGTTTAGACATCTAAAAATAAGTTACAATGAATGACAGGTCACATTTTTTGCAAGTGTGATATTAACACATGTGGAATAAAATAAAACGCAATTTTCATTTCGGTTTACATTAATGAAAATCAGAAATAACTGTATGCCAATTAGGCAGTACAAAAGTTATATATATATATATATATATATAAGGTCAAAAGTAAATCCAAAAATCTATCTCCTTTCTTAAACACACATAATAGCTGGCTTTATGTGGTACCGTTTATGACAAATGGCATGATCATGCAGTCTTTACTCATTCAAAACACCCACTGATTACCAGAAAATCCCCATCCTTCAGATTTTTTTTTTGGCCTGAATCGTACTTATAATTGTATTTTTATGTCCTGTTGGTAATGTAAGTTTAATCTGTCTTGGAATATGGCTGATCTGGATCAGGGAAGAAAGATTTAAAATTTTCAATTTACAGTGATACCAGGGAGTCCTTATAGCAGCGCTGATTCCAACTGGTGTGTGTGCTGTATTCACACGACAGCTTTGGTAGAATGAGCGAAATATCAGGAGTTAATGGGAAACATATGACCAGATAGGTTGTTTTGTTTCCCAGGTTTAATATGCATATAATAAGTTTTCAGGCTGTAACATGCTGTGGATTGAAGCCTCTTGAAACAGGTTTCAGTAGCTTTCCTGCGATCTGACTTTGGTGGTTCCAGTTGTTACAAAGAACAGCTCTTTTTTTTTTTTCCTTTTTTTTTTTTTTTTTCCTTCAGGGACAGTAAGAGGCATTCTTGAAGAAACGAATAATGAGCGTGCACATACCTAGTTATTTGCAGGACTGTATTTTTAATGGCGATCCTAAAACTGAGTTTTGGCAAAGGACTTTTCCACCATGGAATTCTGTTTTTCTCAGGACCAAACTGAATTTGATTTTAACTGGCATCCTAAAACTCTTTGAAATTAGTTACATACTGGTAGTGCAGTCACTGTTGTAATTTGGCAGCAGACATATGCTCAGCAAGAGATCTTGTGTTGCATTGGTTTTACAGAGAGTGGAAAAACTGCCTTGAAAGTAACCAAGTTATCTTCTCCTTGGACTCGGCGTAGCACGGTGCTGGGTTTGCAGCAGCTGGCACGTCGGCTGCTGACCATCACACCGCTCCTGATGCAGCACCCAGCCGGTCCGTAGCTTCTCCCGCGACAGCAGTGGGTCAGAGAATTCCCAGTGTGAAAGCGTGTGGTCTGTGACAAAAAGAGAAGGCTACCGAGTAAAGCACAGCAAACATGTATGTGATTTATAGGGCAGGATAACTTCTGAAAGGAGATTATGAGAAGTGAAAAACATTATTCATTTCAGAACATGCTCCTTATTGCCTAGGGGAATTTGTGTATAGCTTTACCAAAGGCCTAATGAAAGCTTTACTCAGTGACTAATTTTTTTTCACACCTATTTCTCTCTTTATAAATATTTTTCTCCCCACCCTCCACTTCTTTTCATTTTGTTGAACACAGCAACACCTGCTGGCAGTGTTCCGGGAGTACTGCTGGAAAGACCCACTGATCTAACTCTTCAGACCAGCTGCCATTAAGTACTGCCAAGCCATATTAATGAGCTGCCTCTATTTTTACCCCTTCCTGCCAGAAAGGGCAATTGCTCTTGGGAAAGACTGTAGCTGTTTTTTGGTTTGTTGGTTTTGGGTTTGTTTTTTTTTTCTTTCTTTCTTTTTTTTTTCTGGCAGATTCAGAATCCAGATAATAATTGTTCATTTAGTGAAGTTGGGATTTCTAACTTAAATTCTGATACCACTGATTGAGAACACGTAAAACATCAGAGTGATGCTGAGCCTATCTTGCTGGCTCGCAGGCATATTTTAGTTCGCTGCTGGATCAGAAATAATTAAAGGAATGGGACTGAGAAAAGTTAGTATTCCAGCAACCTGTTTCTTTTTTTCTTAATTGTGGATTTTATCTCACAAACCATTAAAAAAAG